TTTTGAATAATTTCCTGTTCTATCCTCTTTAAATTTTAGTTTACAGCATTCAGAACGTCCAGAACATTAGTGGTAGATATTTCAATTAGTAGAAAAAGTTATTTTAAAACTTTTTAACTTTTCCACTAATTATACTTCAAATGTTGCGAGAAATGCCGCGAAATGTTGCGAGAAAATGAAATTGTGGTTAGAAATGAAAAGTTGTTTGTTTATAAAATCTAATATTAGGCTTTCTCTATGAATACAACTGACTAACGTAAGCTGTTGCTGGGATATTCTATTAATTTTAATTGTGTTTTTTAAATATTGTGAATGATCGTAAACTAAAGCTTCATTCAGAACCTCGCAATTAGTGGAATGAATTAGTGGTTTGAATTACACTTTATACTTTTTAGTTTACGATCATTCTCAATGTCTAAAAAACACAATTAAAATGAGTAGAGTATCCTAATAGCAACAGCTTGCAGTAATCTGTCGTATCCATAGAGGAAGCCTAATATTCAGCTTATACTTTGAATAAGAAGACTAAGGAAGGAGCATACCTTTGAATAAGAAGACTAAGGAAGGAGATATGCTCCTTCCTTAGTCTTCTTATTGAAAGGAGCATACTAAAAATCTTAGGTCCACCGCGATGGGCCTCAAATATGGCCGACTTAAATTCCGGTTTATCAGTGCCGTTCTATTTTTTTTTTAAAAAATGTAAAACTATGATGTAGGGTAGACGTGGGGTAGACTCAATAATTTGCTGTTTTATTTTACGTTGTGAATAAATGTTGGTAGTTATTAAAATTGTTATAAAAATATAAAATTCTAATAAAAATAGTTAAGTTATAATCATTATTTATAACCATAAACATCCGATACGCTACTGAAGCAGGTAAGTCAAATTGACGTATCTAAATTCTTTGACATCTAATCTTTGACAAGTAGTAAATAAAAGCAAAAATGCAAGAAAAAAGATATAGTTAATTAATTTAAGTGAATTTCATAAATGATCGGTTTACTACACGTATGTATATTATATAGTCACTTACTAGCGAAAAGTTGTTCCATTATTTCACTCAATTTTTGCCGAGATCTACCGCACACTACACAACCAACTATTTTAGAGTCTTTTTCGATAAATCGCGATAGTGTCACTGTTAATTTAAGTTCTGCCACAATTTCCATCTAGATTTACTACCTTTATACAACTATCAGTAGTAGAATAAATAATAAATAACATAAAATAAGAACCGTAAAGACTGACAAATCCACAAAATTTCAAATCAAATTCAAATGTGTCAAATGAATCGTCAAACAGAACTGTTCCAGAAGGATCCCCACCCTAGAGTCCTTTTTCCGCCCACCATGCATGAATACATGGATAGCATTATGCTCCTTCCTTAGTCTTCTTATTCAAAGAGCTTATAAAACAATAAACTAACCACATTTTCTCATGACGGATGATAATCAAAGGCCAAAATGACATTCCTCGCAAATTTTGAAGTATAATTAGTGGAAAAGTCAAAAGTTCGTTAACTTTTTCAACTAATTGAAAATTCCTACCACTAATTTTGACGTTCTGAATGCTTATATTCAAATTAGAGGAACAAACACCTACGCGAATTGAAACCAGTAATTTATTCTACTAATTGCGAGGTTCTGAATGAAGCTTAAAATTTGAAGACGCTTGAAAATGACAATTTTTCACAATATTCACACGACTTTTACACAATATTTTGACTATTTCGGCAAAAAACTTTTTTTCGTGTAGAATAGACACCGGCGACGTCGAAATCGAGAGTGCGGCGACGGGGACGCAGACCTTCATTTTTTTCCGCGCGTTCTTCGCTTGTTTTCGGCATTAATTGATATTAGTCCGCCGCCATTCGACTTTCAGCAGTCTCTCTCGGTGTCAATGACATTTCGATTGTTGATATTTTTGTTTTTTTTTCATCTGTTTCTTACGTACTGTAGGTGCGTGGGTTTCGCAGGTTCGTTCATTCATACCAAGGCAAAAATAAATTACATCGATGGTAAATTCCTATACGCCTATACTATATTACCTGTTTCTATAAATTTTAATTTTAGTTTGATGACTCTCCCTTTGTCATGATATGGCATAAAGTTTTTCGGCAGTGAAGCACCACATCAGTCGACATTTTCTCGTTGGTACAGAGAATTTAAACGTGGACGGATTAGTATTTGCGATGATTCAAGAGCAGGTCCACCAACAACGACAGTTACCCAGGAAAAAGTCGATGCTGTACGTAAGCTGATCCAAGAAGATCGTGAAATTGAAACATCATTGAGCATTTCAAAGACGAAAGAAAAATGAAGAATTATCTGCAAAAAGTTAGTTTCTCATTGGATATCGCATCTGTAGATAGAGAACAGACAGCAATTAGAGTAAATTCGTATCAAAAAAGTCTACACCGGTTTAAAGCAGAAAACTAAAAAAAATAGCACCTACTGTAAGTGCTGATGAACACGAAATCAACAGTTTAGGTGTTCGGAGATGAACCAAAACCGACAAAAGTTATCCGTTCTCGAAGTGTTCCAAAAACATGGTAACGATATGAGTCCCAAAAGAGCAACAATACCTCTGCAAAATCACAGAACTGTTACTGGCCTATTAGTACATATAGGTATATTTGTATGCCGGAAGTAATTGCTAAGTTTAGTAAACCAACCCTCAACGACGAATGATCCTCCACCAAGACAATGCAAGTTCCTACACACATTGAAAAAGTATTTTAAAAAGCAGTTTTAGGGTAGTTTAGAGTTTTTTAAAAGTTTTAAAAGCAAGAAAACATTGAATTGGTGGACTATCCTCCATACAGTCCCGACCTAAGTCCCAACGACTTTTCCAAAAATGTTTTTTAACTGCGTGATCAAAGGTTCCAGTCCCAAGAAGATACAGCCGTCAGCGTCAGCGCCGGCGAGTTTCGTCACTAAAAAATACTTTCTTCTAGTCAAGTATCTTGTAGTTTAACTACCATGTAGTTTGAAATTTCATTAACAACTATCCTTGATCCAGACAACCGCGGGTCATTTGGACAAATTCCTATGATTCTCCTATCCATTCAAATTGTTTTCTTGACTCCCGGATTTTGGCATTTTCTCTACATGTCCTAACCGTGAAATTTTCGTCACGCAATATTTTGGCAAGTTAAATTGCTTAGAAATCCTAATGTTATGCTTACCTGCAAAAAAGCGTTTATGGCCATCTGTTTTACCTCTACAGAGATTGATTTAAATTTTAGTATACTTTTTTATACAAAAATAAGAGCTATGAGTAGTTAGCCAGCAGAACTATAAAATTAAATTTACCTTTATGGTAAAACCTTTTTCTTGATGTCAAATGAAAACTTGCTTTACCTTTTGTCGCGCTAATAAAATAACCTGCCTAAATAAAACAAAATAAACAAACTTATCAGACATTTGAAAAGAATGACATTTTACTTATGGCACCAGCCTACTATGATGCTATACACTATACATATCTTCATACCTATACACTTTTATCACAATGTTCTTCATTGTGATTTGGCATAAAGACTGTTAGAAAATCTACTTCCTAGCATTGAGCATTATAGGTAGAGCCTGTCCATCGAGAAGATACATGACAGTGACAATTATGTCTGACATTTTAAGTACGTATGAGAACATTCGAGACAGACAGTTTTTTACTCATTTTGCTGCCTTTTTTCCTAATTTTGTTGTTGGTTTAGCCGTTTTACTGTCTTTTTTATGTCTGTTTTACTGTTTTTATTGTTTTTACTGTTTTTTCCTATCTGTAAAGCAGCCTATTATATATAAAGCTATTACAAACCTGTAAAACAGCCAGCAATCAGTCAAAGAAAGTTGTCTATCCCAATTATCGCCAAACCTACCATTTTACTTCGCACGTAAATTGTAGGTATCGTATGATCGAAAAAAAACCGGCGTCAGCGATGGCTATGAAATGAAGATCGCTGACATTTTATATGTAAAATTATATGGGGAATGTCATCGACCGTCATTTCCAAGCCAACTGTACGCCGTTTTTTCGATCATACGATATTTTCTGTCATTTTTGGATATTGTATATTGGATTGGAATCTTCCCTGACATATTGGACAGACTTTAGTCTGTAAAACGGATCAGAGAACGACATCCAAAAAAATACAGTAAAAACTACTTACCTTTGAATTAAAATGGCAGACACAACTCTGTCACTGTCATGTATCCTGTCGTTGGACTGAGGACAGACTTTTAGTAATGTCTATCTAACGGGAGAACACCTGAGAGTCATTTTAATTAGCAACTAAATTGTTTTTCTTGGACTGCCGAATTCTTCTTTGGATCGTTAGACAGACTGGATCTGTATTTTCATTCGTCGGACCAACAAAAAGTGTGTTGTTTATTTATGAATTGGGCTTTGACAGTTGAAAAAATTCATAAAAAACCTAAATACAGTGTGTCCCACAAGAGAATACATGACAGTTGTGATCTGTCATTTTTTTTTGTCACTTATAGGATGTCGTCTGTCGAAATCTTCCCCTGACTCGTTGGAGACTTTATTATGTCGGTAATTATTATTCTTAAGATTTGTTTTATCAGTCGTCATACCTGAATAGTAGTACCTGAATAATTGTTTGTGCTTGAAATAATTGTACAGTGTGGAGGATTTCCATCCTGGAGGATTTGAAGTTACGATAAAGCAGTAAGTACATCTTTTAACATATATCTTTCAGACACGGATGGTCTGCACCAATCAATATTTGTTGGTTTGTTGGATTTTTAGTATTTTCTTGAAAAACGGGACAATTTGGCGTCCCGAAGCGTCTTTCGGGGACACCGGGACAGACGGTCGAAAAAAGGGACGGTCCCGTTCAAAACGGGACGTATGGTCACGTTATGTATGTACTCTCAACAGATTAAGTTGATTGCTTTAAAATTCCTATAAAATGGACAGTTTTCCCCCTTCATTTGATGTTGTAATCCAAACAAAGACACTAAAACCAAAAACATACCTGTCTGAAGATTCCGAGCTGTCGTATCTATCGACGCATCTCTTCTTCCTGCAATCGTCGTCCAGCGATCCTTCCTCCTTGGTTGCCGCTGCCGCCGAGCCAGCAGTGGTCGATGCTCCATGACTGCTCTTCTTCGAGTTCGGTTTCACGCCACACAATCCTTCCAAAAACACCTTTTCGCCACCACTGTTTTCACGTCCAGGATAACAATGATTATTCACTTTGTCACCAACAACGGCTACGCTCCTTCTGTAATCCATAACAATGTCAGTCATCAATGTTTTGCTATCGGCACGCGCGAATTCGGCCGCCGTGACACCCGCATGCGGCCCGTCTGCCATTTTGAACACACTGGTGGCGGCGGCGGCGCGGCGTGCGGCGCCGCATTCGCAGGAGGCGGCGCGGCGCGCGCGTCCCTCCGGTGTTGCCGATTTAGGATGGAGGTTGGCAGGAAGGGGGAGCGCGAGCGGTGTTGACGCCCCGGACGGAGAAGAAACGATCGGCGGCGGGCCTAGTTCGATACGTCTTGCTACTAGGTGGACCAAACAAACTGCTAACTCCATTATTCCCAATTTTAGAGAAGAGAAAGGCACACAATAATATTATGTACACATGTAGCAAGTACCGTATGATCGAAAAAAAAACGGCGTCCAGTTGGCTGGGAAATGACGATCGACCGACCACATTTCCAATATAAATTTACATATGTGATGACAGAACGATCTTCATTTCATAGCCATCGCTGACGCCGTTTTTTTTTCGACCATACGGTATATTCATGCGTTAATATGATAAAGAGATAATAATAACATTTGTTGGGGAACAATAAAACTTAATATTTAGTTAAAAAATTTACATAAAAATGATGTATTAAATGTACAATATTATATTTAGTTAAAATCTCTCTCTCAAAAATGGAGTTAGCAGTTAGCAGTTAGCATATCGATATAAAAGTTAAAATTGTAGCAATTTTTCTCTTGTAACTTTCTCTTGTATTTTTCTCTTGTTCTTTGTAACTTGATTGCTAGTTACACTACTCATTAGCGTCACTAGCAATTCATCCAGGGGGGGCTACGACTTTTGTTTTTAAAAAATAAAGAATATCTACTTAAAATAAAAAAATAAACACATTTTTTGAATAAAACGTTTACATGAATTTCTCTATTATAACAAATTTTGTAAAAAAATAAAAGCTGACATTTTTTTGGAATACAACAGAATAATATTAACTAAACAAAACTAGAAAAAGTAATTTTTGCTACATCAGCAAATCATAATTAATATTTAGTCACGAGTAATTTAGTAAAAATTCAAGATTTTCCTTGGGGGTGCCCAGCCCCGGACCCCCCTCTAGTTACGCCAATGGGTGCCACTATCACGCCCAATGACTAAAGAATACAAGGACTAATAACACCCGAGACTAAATTGTTACCATACCTCCAAACAGTGCCGTGGCACATAATTTTCTTAACATAGCTGCTTGAAGAGATATTTATATTTTTGATAAATGGTTTTGACTACGCCTATGGTGTATGTGGTGGTATAAAAGTATAAAACTAGTAACGACGTATAGCACATATCAAGCACATATAATATCAGAAATGTAATTATGGAATTCAATAAAAAAAAACTAAAAAGGTGAAGTGGATTAGCGTACTCAACACCATAGGCGTAGTCAAAATATTTATCAGAAATATACATATCTCAAGCAACTAAGTTAAGAAAAAATATGTGGCACGGCACTGTTTGGAGGCATGGTAACAATTTGGTCTCGGGTCTTTGTATTTTGTAGTCATTGATCACGCCAGTGCTGAAATAATTTAAAGTCGTGTCCTTTATTTTAAATATTTACATGCCAACATGTCATTATATGCAATTTTGACTACAAACAGTGGGCAAACCAATTGAACTATACAGGGTGGTGACAATTTCGATGCTCATCATAGATCATTGGCCATCTCAGTCATAATAAGAAACTACGAGAGGTACAAATTCGGTTAAATGGGACAAAAGTTGCGTAATTAGAAGTTTGACAACACCTATGAAAAAAATCCCGGTATCTAGATTAGTTTCGGATTTATGTAAAAAAATGAAAATGATATATACGTTTATTTTATATGACAATATCTTCAAAACTATTGTATCTATTGCAACGTATGTTGGTAGTTTTGTATTTTTGACCTCGAGCAATTAAATGCCGTTTTCAGAAAATTTCTAATGGTGCGTCCAGACCTGAGGAGTCGAGTGCGAGACGAGAGCAAGACAAGAGCGAGACAAGAGCGAGGCAAGAGCAAGACGAGTGCGAGGCGAGAGCAAGACATTTTCTATCCATTTTTTGACGCAAGCCTGCCACGAGACAAGCGAGTTGGGTCGTAGTGAAAGGTGACCGGTTTTATGGTTACATGTCCGATAAAAAACCTGCAGCAAATAATAACGCATATTGTAATAAATTTTTACATGATATTTGGTTCGTCGTATTTTATTCATCGTCGATTTTTCCCCTTTTACGCTATTCATTTGTTTCGAGACACGACGCGGACGTCTTTTACAAAATTCGTTTTTTAGAACAAAACATTAAATAGAAAAGTTATAGGAAAGGTTAAGAAGCACATTTGAAAATTACTGTAGAGTATACAGGGTACTTCAAAAAGTGTTACGGATAAATATATGTTTTAATGGGAATACCCTATTTTTTATTTTATTATTATATTCTGCGTACAATTCGATAACTTTTTTTGCATATCATATTATTATATATCTAAAATAATAGATTTTGTAATAATTCAATTTGTTAAAAGAAATGTTAGATTTCGGTACAGTAAAAAGTATCAGTGACGCAAAATTTGTAAATTCTGCTAGAAAAATGATAATACATACGGTGTTCCATTTAAAAAAATTGAGAATATTTAATTTTTAATAGTCGAAATTCATAAATATATGTTGAACACTCTGTGGAATCTAACTCAAATATCTTTACCTATATCTTTTTCTTCGTTCCTATAAAACTATCCTAACAAATTTTAGCACTCCAACTCCAGAAACAATACCATGACTGACTGACAATTTTTTACGACACTGAAATCTAACGACTGTTTGTAGCAAATTGAAATATTACAAAAACTATTAGTTTTAGGTAGGTATATAACATTATACCTCGCATTATACATAAAAAAGTTATAAAATTTTACGCAGAATCTAAAAATAAAATAAAAATAGGGTACTACATTTAAAAAACCATGGTATATCCGTAACACTATTCTGAACTCTGAACCACCCTGTATACTCTATAATAATTTTAAAAAGTGTACCTTAACCTTCTCTACAGTTTTTATATTTTTTTAATACGTTCTAAAACACTTTTTCGTAATTCTGAAAACAAATTATATAATGAACATTATTCTATCGTTGGCTCACCCTGTGTATTTAGTTTACTAAGTAAACTAAATTCAATAATAATTAAACTTCCTATAATAATCTCCTTCCTGTATGTTGTTACATTCTTCCCAGGTTTTATTAATCGATTGTGAAATATCTACCCACGCATCGTGTTTTTTTTAATATTCTTTATCTTTTGGATTCCATAATATTGGTTTTGCTTTAAATAAATCGATTAATTTCAGCTGATCTTCTTCCGTCCAAGCCTCCATTTCAATATATGCACTAATATCAGAGCTAATATCTTGCAGTCGAGCGAGCCTACCAAAAACACGTCCAGACTTGGCCGCGAGCTTTCTTTGATCGGCCGTCGAAAAACCGACGGGGGACGGATAGCAACGATGAGGCTCCGTGGGTTGTCTCGCGAGGCGGTCGCGAGGCTCTTGCGAGACCCGTCCACCCTTTGAAAAACACCGCAAATTTGGAATGTCTCGCGCTCGTCCCGCACTCGACTCCTCAGGTCTGGACGCACCATTAGAAATTTTCTGAAAACGACATTTAATTGCTCGAGGTCAAAAATACAAAACTACCAACATACGTTGCAATAGATACAATAGTTTTGAAGATATTGTCATATAAAATAAACGTATATATCATTTTCATTTTTTTACATAAATCCGAAACTAATCTAGATACCGGGATTTTTTTCATAGGTGTTGTCAAACTTCTAATTACGCAACTTTTGTCCCATTTAAACGAATTCGTATCTTTCGTAGTTTCTGAGGTGCCAATGTTGAGCATCGAAATTGTTACCATCCTATGAGCTATAAAAACAGCTTAATTTTCAGAAACAGTCAGAATTTTACCCTTCTATTAATTTGTTTTACACAGTAACTCTGAATATAAAAACTTCCGGCACTACTTTATATCATTATACCTAATTACAAAAAAAATAATATAAATCATCCATATTAAACTTAAAATTTAAATATTTATTATTTAATATATCCAACTCTCTAATTACACCTCGTATAAATCCTACAGGATTTCCTCCAATAACACAAAACAAATGCAAAACAACATCTCACACGCCGCATAAAAAATCTGACAAACCACCTCTAATCTCCACTTGCTGTAACGAACAATCAAAGAGAAAAATCAGCGCACCGTGTAAAAAAAGAACACCAAAACGGAAATGCAGTTACACACCGGTAACCTTGAACAAAACCGGTCTCTATCGCCGACCGTTTTCCCTCAACCTCCTACTGTTTTACATAACCGGCAACGCTGTCGATAGATCTAGCGAAGCAGCGGGACGGGGACGGAGTGCACCAGCCCCGTGACGTCACGCGTCGCTCCTCGCCTCGCTCCGCTGGCTCTAGGCTCCTCGCTCGTTGCATACGTTCGTCGTTCATTGGCCGATCAACAATTACATAATTTACTTTGTAAGTTGCGGGTAATGACATCGGGCGATTGCATTGCCGCTGAGTAGTAGAGATGACCAGAGGAAACAATCGAAATCTTTGGACGCGTGCCATTATCGATCTTTTTTTAGTATACAGCAAGCTGTAGCTTTGATTGGTTGAGTTTGAATCAAATATAAGGTGACCATAACGAGCCTTATCTAAAATTTATACCTGAGGTACTTTTCTAAATATACAGGGTTGTTCACCACATACGACACGGAGTATTGTAGCTAACGATTAGATTTTTGCAAATTGTAAGTTATGGGTTCGTTGAAGGACTATTAGAGCTACAATTTAAAAATATTTTACAAGATACAGAGTGTCCTTTTAAGGGTGTTTTTGACAGGGTGTTCCATTTAAAAAAATAAAACTGCTTTATTTATTTATTTGGGACACTCTGTATCTTGTAAAATGTTTTTAAATTGCAGCTCTAATAGTCCCTAACCAAAACTTATACAATACTCCGTTGCGTAAGTGGTGAATAAC